GGTCAATCTCGACTCACTGAGTTAATTTCTTGTTTTTGTCGCCTCTTTATCGTGGGAAATTTTCAAGTCCTCTGGTTTTGATTTTAGTGGTGGTTACTGAGTCTTTTGATGGGATTGATGGTATTTGTTTGATGTTTAACTGTTGCTTAAGTAGAAAAATCGATTTCTTGAAATTTTAAGTTTACAGAGGACTGGTGTAGTTCGGTTTTATGGCTGCAGAGTGTGTAGGCATGATCAAATTGAATGCTTGATCGTGATGTTGTCAGTAGAATCGGAGCCGGGTCGTTTAAGAGGATCTGTTTGATTATAGACTTGCCCATGAAATTCCCCACGAATCGACACCGACATATTAACATGTCATCATAGTATGCCTGTACCTGAGACACTTATTTGTCATTGGTCATCAGTTATGGTTATGCATAGCAGCATATGAGGTAATTAAGAAACATGTCCAAAAACTGATCATAACTGATATAAGAATCCTAAAGTGGATGAGTGCACAGTGTGTTTGGGTGAGTACTGGCAGTTTACCAGTTAAAAGCTTTTTGGGTCTGAAATTTTTATGGTTTTAAGAAATAATGTCCATAAAAGTATGTTTTGGTTACTTCACAAGAAAAAAAACAAGGAAACTAATAAGGTTGGTGAAGTCCAGTTTATTTGCCTCCTTAACGGCATGTTATAATTATATCTAAATCTCTTGCCTCTCGTCTGCACAAAGAGTCAGATGCTTCCTTGTAGCTCACCTCTTCCCAGCATTCAGCACACCTGTGACTCTCATCCTTACTCTAACTAATCGTCAGCTCAAATTGCTTGTCCAGGCTTTGCGTTGTCCAATATGCAATGTCTATGGTCTCGACCAACAGAAGATAGAAATTATGCTACTGTTGTTCTCAACTAATGACATGGTCTCCCAATGATTCTGATTGTATTAAAAAAGCTCAATCTCGAGGGAGGGATTTCTTTAGAACTAGAAATATCAAAGTATCGACTTTACACAAAGGAACTAGCGTCCATCATTCTAAAGACTTTTTCTGCGTTGAGTTTAGAGATGGTCGTCATGCTAATACACTGTATGCCCAAGTGGTGTTAGGAGCTCATGTATAACATACTTGAAAGTTCAGCTACCCATACCAACCTTCCACTCATCTTTACTGATATTGTGGTAGAATTGTACCCCTCTTTGAGAGGCATCATTGACATAGCCTACTTATTTCAAACTTGTTTCCAAGTATAATGCTAAAGCAATAGTACAAGGCCCGTCTGAACAGTTTCATTAAACCTGTCATGTATTAGAAGAATTTTTACAACACCTATAGGTTCGGTCTTATGGACCCGTCGGACTAGGAGCTTCTCATGGTCGCCTTTGGATCAACAAATAGCTAGGTGTTACACTCGCAAGAACCTTGTCCCATTTGCTAAAGATACTGTCAACAGCCTCTGAGGACCTTAATTTACAAGTTCTGCCGTATTCATTTACTTTCCTTGTTTCACTATCGCTGTTGGACTGATGAACCTTTGGAGAATTTAGCATCCCCCAGCTTTTCAATTATGCAGTGCAAATCCTTATGTGATAAAAGTCCATCCAACTGATTGTGTTTTACCATTGGCAAAGCGCATTTGAAGAACAGTTGACTCTCATAAGGTACAGACAGGCATGTTACATTTGGTCCACAGTCATCTCTATGGATGGAACTTTTGATCCACAATCATCTCTACAACTCCGAAAAAATTTCCTGCAACAGAGGCTGCCTGGAATGATCAATGTGGCTGTAGAACTTAGGGGATTGCAGCAGCTGTCACTGATGATGTAGATCTGGACTGAAGAAAGGTTTAGTTACCAAGCTATCCAAATCAGAAGGAGAGAAACTGCATGCTGATGATCTCTGCCCAGCTGATACAACCAAAATCCCCACTTCCAAACGTAACCCACAAACAACACGGATTTTCAGGTTTATGAGAGGGTTCGAGGTGAACGAATAGCTCTCCAAAGTGCAGAGGTAGAATTTAAAGAGGGTTCTGACTGACAGCATGAATTTAGCTTAATTCATAGTTTGGGCTTTGCCTTATTGATGACGACACTTACTAGATTGAAGTTACCCATCGGTTTTCTTGACATCACTGGTTATAGAATATTTTTAAAAGAGACTTTTACATTATGTGGATGATATCTGTTCTCATCTACCTATCCAGTTTAATTTGTGTGCAAGGTTTTGCCTATTCTGGTTTGTCTTACCTAGTTCCAGTTGTATGCTATAGAAACCAATTAATTCATTAAGCAGTGGAGATAGTATAGCCATAAAATTCGAAGTCTGCTTGAAAAGAATCATCTAACTTTTTTTCGGTCCCGCCACTGTTTCTTTGTGGGGACTTTGTTATCGAGGCGCAAGGCATAATGCAGGGCGCAAAGGCCCCTTACGCGCACCATGCGCAAGGCGCACAACGATGCGCGCGCCTCACTGAATTGAGGCGCACAACTCAAACTAATATTTTCCAACATAAGACAAAGAAGCATATAAGCAGTATGTTTATAAATTGTTACATAAAAAATCAAAAAATATAATTTTACAGACTAAATCACGAAAGAGTCTTAATTAGCATGCATAACATAGAGAAGTTCATAAGTTTTCACAAATGACAATGCAAGATAATCTTCAACATAAGTAAAAGTCTATGAAACAAAACAAGCAAGTAACAAATAAGAACTATGTATTTTTATTTAAAATATGATATATGTATTTTTAAGTAACAATTAAGTGATTAAAAAAATATAATTGTTCATAACTTTTTAGTTAGCATTCTTAATTGCTATTTGCTAGTTAGCATGAGAAGATAGAGAATGGAGGTAACAATTACATATTACATGTTCATAATTTTCTAGTTAGCGTGCTAATTAGAGAAGGAAGTTACAATTAGCAAACAAGTATACTAAATTACTAATTATTGTTTCCTTTTTATAGGTTAAATATGAAAAGATGGAGAATGAATGAGCAACTAGCAATAAAGAGTCTATTACATGATGTAAATATGTAATATGTAAATTATTTAAAAAAAACAGAAGAAAAAGTCTATTACATGATGCAGGTGTCAGCGAGGCGCGCGCCTTGTGTGTGTGCAGCGCCCCGCCTCTGGTGCGGGACGCAATTGCCCCAGCCCGCAGCGCCCCGCGCTCGGGACGCGCCCAGGGCGCGCGCCTCGATAACAATGGGGACTTCTCTTCATATATATGTGTGTGTGTGCGTGCGTGCGTGCCTAGCTGCTTTAAAGTTTATCTTGATTCGCGGAATTATTTTCGACATCAAAGGTGTATAGGATTACCTCTTGTCATTGTCACTGGATAGGGGAGGAACACACCTTAGAAGGAGTTTTCAACAGATGGTGAATATAGAACAGTGTTCTATATGATGTATGTATAACGTTTGCAAATATCTTATGCCTTTATGCATATCAGATTCTCTGTTGTTCTAAAAAGGTATAGGCCATTTATCATTTTTAATTTTGTTTGGCTCTTGAACATGCTTCCCTAATGTTTTCCATATGCACAGGCGGTTTTTAAGCAATTTAGTGGACGTTATGGTCATGACTCTGCTCTTTCTGATGAGGCGGAGCTTCAGTGCCACCAAAATCTTCAAATGCTTTATAGTTCTACTAGAGCGGCAAAGGTATTTAAAATTTTCAAGGAGGCATTTCAGATTGATTTCTAGATTAAGTTTAATTGATAAAACTTTTAACTCATTTTATTAAGCACCTCCAAAAAGAGATTGTGCGCGGTGTTGAAGGTTTTATATCAATTAGTTCAAAGCAAATGGAAGTAGGTAAGGACATTTTCAAATTTTCATCATACTCTACCAGTTTGAAAGCTTGATTGATAAATGTGAATTTCCATTCTCCAGTTACAAAGCTAGCTGAAGGCTGTTGCAAATATGGAAATGGATATCAAAGGTCTGATTTTGCTCTCGCGGGGGCTTCCCTTGAGTTTGGCGATTCTCATCTTTTGATGCAAAAAGAGATGGAAAATCTCCTAAGAGTACTGGGGGATCAGGTGAGGTCTTTGCTTTGTCATACATTATTAGATCATTTATCTGAATTACTGGCAACCACATGATGTATGGCAAGTACTCTATTAGGAACTTTGTAGAATAGTCTAGGAATTTCACACCTTTGAACTATACTAATACAAATTTAGTTTGCTTTGATTCTGGTACGTTCTTGCTTTCATGTTTTGAGCTAACCTCTCAAAACGTTATGCCTTTAACTGTTTTAGATGCCATGTTTTTTTACCATCTCATGGTATAATGCGGCATATTCTGTAGTAGCTTTATTTTTGCAGTCTTTGTATTTCAATGGAGGCTAATAGGATGCAACGCACTAGTTAGAAGAAATGACAGAATGAAAGCTGACAGAGTAAATTTTAACTGACGATATGACCCTTAAGAGCGATAAATGGGAGGCATTCATGTAAAACCACCCCAAAGTTTTGTGTATAAAAATTTTCTTGTTGCTTTTGTTGTGTTAGTGGTTAGTGTTTTTGCTGTCTATATTTCACTCATTTATTTAAATTACTCTTTAATCCATTTGTATCTCATAGGTTTTTGATCCATTACGAACAATGATAACGGGGGCTCCTTTAGAAGATGCTCGCCACTTGACTCACCGTTATGAGCGGATTAGGCGGGATATGGAGGCTCAGGTAGTGCAAATCTAATGTTTTTTTTCCGGACACTCTTGAAATGAAATACAAAAAATAGTAAAAAATTCAACTGATCAGGCTGCAGAAGTTTGTAGACGCCAGTTGAAGTCCAAGGAAATTGGTGCTAGTCCAGAGGATGCTGTAAAACTTAGGAATGCAGAACTAAAATTATCTGAACTTAAAAATTCTTTATCAGCATTGGGGATAGAGGCGACTGCTGCTATGACGTCAGTTGAGGCTCAACAACAGGAAGTTACTTTCCAACGACTTCTTACAATGGTGTGCTCTCTCATTTTATTTATGCTTCTGGAAGTAGAAAGTGAATTTGAACACTTCTTTTTTCTTATGGTATTCTCTAATTTTGTCCATTTGTAAATTTTTTATTCTCCCTAGATATTCAATAGTCCCATGCGTGTTTGTTATTTGTTCCACTTATAGTTGAACTGACAAACAAATGTTGCAAACTTGAAATAATGATGAGAACATGGATTTGGAGGATTAGATACAACTGTTATTTTAATGCAATGTTGCAAATGCTATTGCATTTGAATTTTAGAAGAAAAATAACTGTATCATTAACTAATTTGGGATAACGGCTTTGTTGTTGTATTCATCATTTCATGTAGTATTCCACATCAATATGATACTAAAATCTACTTGTACAGTTGCTTAGACAATCTATTATTTACTTCAGGTTGATGCTGAGAGATCATATCATCAAAATGCTGCTGAGATATTAGACAAACTTTATACTGAGGTATGGGTTTCTTTGTTACAGCCAGAAAGAATCATGTAAATTCTGTGGGAATGAATCACCTTTAAATGCTAATATATTTGTATTAACATAGATGATTCTAGTGAAGCCGCATATAGAGCCTTCACTAAATCCAGCAAGAATCACTGAGAAGCATTCTCAAAGTGCAAATGAGGAATTCTACAAATCTGGAGATCTCTCAACAAATGGTCAGCATACTGTGTATTTCATTGCAGAAGTAAGATATTCCATCGAATTACTTTTAACTTTATTTTTCATTGCAGACGTAAGACGTTCCACCTAATATGTTTATATACACTTACATGCCACAAATTACATAAAGAGTGGTGTAATCTATATGCTCACGGAGGTCAATGGATGCAAAAGTATGATCTCCCATATTGTTAATACTTATCTCTCAAATATAAGTGGTCACATGCGGTTGCTCTGATACTAATCCTCATGGATATAACTCTAATCCACTGCTGAAATTCGTCCTCGCTATTTTGTCCTTATGAGTCAAACTTAAGGTTAATATGAACTTTAATGTCAGGATGATGGTTAATACGGTAGATTTGTCTAATTTGAAATTTACTTGCAGGTAGTGCACCCTTTTGATGCTCAAGCGGATGAAGAGTTAAGTCTCGCGGTCGGTGATTATGTTGTTGTTCGTCAGGTACATTCAGCCATTATGCATGCTTATATGGATCATCTGAAACCCTTGGGTATTCAATGTTTTGAGTGTTAAAATGGTTTGGACTTGTAGTTTCCATATTCTTTGAGTGTTAAAATGGTTCAGACTAGTAGTGGTAAGAGCAGAACTAAAGATAGTAATGTGATAGAAGTTTGTTCTTTTTTCTCTAATCACAGAATATGACCATTAATCTAGAAACCTTCTCATGTCTATTTGGTGCTAAGGTACTCTTTTTGTAATCTACTACCATATTCTATATAACTAGGTACTTCATCAAGAATAATGATTTATTTTTAACCACCAAGATGACTCCTACTTTATCCACAGCTATATGATTAGAGAAGACCACCTTAGCTGTTAACATGTCTGTAGTATTTGAAAATTTAATTAGTTTTATCGTAAATGTTGCATAGCTTACTTGCCTTGATATTCTGGTTAGTACTAAAATTTGATAGCACTCCATGGTTTTATACATATGACAACTTCTATATGGCCAGAAGCAAGCAGAATATAGATATGAACTTCGTAGAAGAGCAAGTTAACAACTAGGGATAGGGATAAAGGGAAGCAGATGCAGAACATCAAGAAGAAAGGGAGTATAGGCGAGAACCGAGAAACCAGAGAAGAGGAAGAGATGAAAGGAAAGTGGCCAAAAACTTTGGTAAAAGCAGTTCATATAGAGCTAAGTGTCACTTATATTTAGACTTCCATTTGATTAACAAGTAAAAAAATTTGCGGTGATGGGACTTGGGATATACCAATTCAAATTAATTAATTTGACATAAAGCACTTCATGCAAAAGGAAAATGCATCTGTCTTGTTTATTAACAATGATAATGGTTATTTCTACAAAGTAGAAGCTTAGCTGACACCGTTCAAAGGTCTCGAGATATTTCATCAGTAATTTTATAAGTGTAACTGTTCCTTTATGTCAGCTACTAGTAATCACTTTCAAGATACATACTTGTAGAAGTGACCATAGTTGGCTTAAATGTTATATTTCATGCTGCCTCCTTAGCTTGAATTGCAGTTAGTCCTCAATTTGAAACCTATCCTGTCACTATGTCATCTGTCACTAGATTGCTTTATTGATTGTAGATCACAGTTTTAAAACTTCGGGTACCTGAATCTCTCTCAAGGTTTTATTGTCATTAAAGTGGCCTGCCATCAACTTTACATAGGTGATCATATACTAGAGCCTACAGGCTACAGGACTAATCTGTGGGAAGGGTTAACTCCAATTTACGCGTGTGCAAACTCGGAACATTGTCTCTATGATAGAGCTGCTGTATCATGCAATGCAACTTAAGACCTAGAAAACATCATATCGAGTTTTGATTGCTTTAAAAGGTCCACATGCATAGGAAGACAAAGGTTAGATATGGTTTTTTGTATGTCTTGTAGGTACAGTTTGCATATAAGAACATTGACATTTGAAAATACTTATTTTATCAAAGAAGGCAAGGTTAGAAGTGGAGTTTTTGCATCTGTCACCTTATTACATGCATCTGTCTTCTATTTCATGTGTCTTCTAGGCATGGTTTTACTTGGTTCTTGGTAACAATATGAGTTTAAGATAGCTATTGTAACAAGCCTTTCCTTGGCTACATCATGGATACAGTCTATGATACCCGATATTCACTTGCTCTCTTCTTGCTCAGTTATGGTCTGTCCTTTTGCTACCTCTGAATGAAGGTTTCGTCTCCATTTCCTGGTATTCATTCAGGTTATTGGTCCTTCTTTACTCTGGTGGTTCACTGCTAGTTCTCTGCGGTCTTTTAAGTGTTTTCGTAATTGCAAATTATATGTACTCTGTGTTTTCCAGTATATAACTGATAACAGTCCAAGGGATGCCTATCGTAGTTAAGCTAGTTGTTACTTGCATTAATAACTAATATTCTTAATATTCTATCTACCAACCTTGAAGCCACTTTATGAGACATGTTACCATGTTGGACATGTGTTTCGGATGCAGGACTTCCCACGAACTTTCATGTACTATTTGAGATATATCTTGTATATCCATGTCATGGTTAGGCCTTGCCTTGTCGATATTAGACTTCAGAATCTCTGCTAAGTGTGATACCCCAACCTTTAATCCCATATCAGGTACTCGAAGAGATTTCAGTATGTTTATAAGATGAAACATGGATTCAAGTGTAACATTGGGTAGCCATTTTTGGCGGTGAATCGAGTCAAACAATGTGTTGCACTCGGTGGGTCCCAGGGCTTACATCGTGCTGGCGGAACTTAAGAATATTTAACTCTACTAGAACTAAATGACTCGCCTTACAGGATCCAACCTAGCTACACTGCTATCTAACTCGAATACATGATGGCCATTGTTGTCTATTTACCTTTCCTTAAAATTCAAAATTTTAAGATCCCGAGTCTTGTTTATACAGTTCCAACGTTGTACACCGTGGAACTGCTCTACCTATTATGTTAGTATATTAACTTTGTGAATGATAAACAGGTAACACCCCATGGATGGTCAGAAGGTGAGTGCAAAGGGAAGGCAGGGTGGTTTCCTTCTGCCTACATTGAGCGAAGGGACACAGCTCCAGCAAGTAAGGTGATAGATAGTACTCGCTTATTGACATGATCCTCGATATCTTGATACCACAAAAGATCAACTTTTTGTAATTTCCCCCCTAGATTCGCAGCGGTTGTTGTACAGTTAGCCTTCAATTTTTTTTCTTTCCAAGTTTTTCCTTTATCCATTTTATATTCCTATTCAGGCGTACATGGTGTATGTGTGTAAAAAGCCTGTATGCGTTCTCAGTTTTTTTAGCATGAGTTTTTGTCTTTCCCCTTTCTTAATTATTTCCCCTTTATGGTTGATATCAAAGAGTCAGGTGTTCGAATGTAAACTAAAATTGTCCTTTAAACTTGGGTTAGTATTGTGATCCGTAAAAGTTAGATGTCACCTGGATTTGTATAATGCAGGCTTTGAATTATTCGATTGTATATCGAGTTTGTTCTGAGTGTGATGACATAAGACCAACTGCGATTTGTTGCTTAGCTAACGAGGATGAGAAAATGATCAGGCAGTGGTCGTGAAGAAAATGAGTATGCGCATGCACGCGTAGCTTCGTAAGCGACTCAAGTCTGGTCTGGTTCATTTGGAATGAATAATATGAGGTCAGGTCTCGGGCTCAGTTGATTTGATTCCTTATTTAGGCTTAATTACTGAGAGTTGTAGTAGATAGAGTCAGTGGTCCTGTGTGAGTAGATTCAGTTGTCCTGTTGACTTGTTTTGCTTGGATGGGCATGGACAGCATTCATTGCCGAAAAAAGAGAGGGTCACTCTTTTTGTGGCGTTCATTTGTTTGAGGCTGTTCGAAGTGCGGCTAAAGCTGAAGCATCTCTTTTTTTAACTTAGACATGGACATTTTATTGGTGGGGTAGCGGGGGGAGATTGAAAAGGTTGGAGCCAGTTTGAACCCTTCTGTACTTTTGTCTTGAATTATTGCGGATAAGAACAAATTTTCAAAACAGACTCAAACAAAGTTTTAATTTTCAAAATCGATCCATTTTTTTAATTACCAAAATCGATCTACTTTATGCCACGTAAGCTTAATCCAATTTTCTAATTAGTTGGGTTGTCAACCCCGACTGTTTAGAGGATTATTAAACCCTAATTAGAAGCTTTAAACCCGATTTTTAATGTCCTAAGACAACCGTTGTAGTGAACTCAATGATCATATTTGATGATGCGAATGAAGATGAATCCTCATGTAACGAGCATGTAGCGTAGTAGAGCATATGTCAACGTCAGCAAATACGACTAGAAAGTTGGGGAGAAAACTATGTTTTGTTGTACATCTGAAATAGGGTTAAATATGAATAAACCCCCTCTAGTAGTGCCCAATTGAGGATAGAGCTCAGTGAACATTTTCGACTCGTTAAGAGTAAAAAAAAAAAGCAACTGGGGTTTTATCATCACCAAGGGTCTGTTTGGTTGGTCCCATCTGTGGCAGCTTTCGGGCTCTTTCCCACCCAAAAACAGAGAATCAAACGGACCCCAATAAAACTATAAAGTGTTTATCTGCCTTTTCAAATTTTTTTTTTTGGCTATTTTAAGAGTTAAAAAAAGATCCATACAAGGGTTCTATCAGCACAAATAAAACTACAATGCAGTCTATTTATAATTGGGTGACTCAAACATGGAGTTTGTTAGCTTGACATTCTTCATCTTTACCTTCTGTGGTACCCTTCTGTGGTGTAAACGAATACATTTGCTCAAAATAAGACAGTACGGAGCAGTTATATAAGATACGAGGAGCATCAAATATTGTGGTACAATTTCTGATGCACATTTTCTGCGCAATGCTGCAAAGTGATAAATAGAAAAAATGAACTATGCTTCCTTTAAAATTAAAAAAAAAACAAATAAATGTAGAGGGGACCATATATTGTTCTTTGTCATAACAAGCTGGATATAGAATATTTTTGTCCACGCACACGCACATGTGGACATGTAGAGATGGAGAAATCCATGTCCTCCGTCAATCCTCTGAACAGTGGGTTATCCAAATATTTTACGGAAAATCGAGCATAATTGACCCGCACGTTGTTGTGGCATCGGGGTGAACAATATAAAAAATTTATGAAAAATTATTTAGTTTGGAATTTTTTAATTTACGGATAAAATTATTTTTTTCTAAATTGTATTGCTAATAAATTAATAAGAAAGAATATAAAAGTTAATGGTTTAAGTATTTTAATAAGAATTTTCTCTTATAATTTGTGGGGAAAAAAAGAAGATGTAAGCATCTTTATTAGTTCCCTAAATTATTAAAATTGATGTTATGTACCCTAAATCATTATGAGTTGTTTGAAATTAATTCTCCTTAGTTAGCACTTGATTAATTTAGGAAATATTCCTTCAATTTTAACTTTTCCAGAGTGGATAACATATTTTATATAAACACACGCCAGAGGTTTTTCGGGGGGTTCAATATTTGGAGTGACAGAGTGGGAAAAGTTCCACCTCTCTCAAAAGTTGAAGAGGGAATTGGAAAAAGAGGCAAAACCGGCATTTGGTGAGCATGAGTTATTTGGTAAAAATGGTTTAGTAATTACTTATCCATAATTAAAGGTTAATCTAATCATGATTAACAAATTGGATAGAATTTGTAGCAAAATAGTTTAGTAATTGCTCATCCATAGTTAAAAACTAATTTAATCATGTTTAAACATTTCATTCAGAAGTTTATTTTAAAATTTTTGATATTTTGGGAGTTGTACTGTATGTGAAAGAAGCCAAAAAACAATTGTCAAATACTTGGTTTAGAAATTTCTTTTTAGTTTGTCAATAAATTTTTTTTAGAGTTGTACTTAAGATAACCACGTACTACATTCATATTTTTACTCATTTTGATAATCATAGTGATGTATTCATATTATATTAGGTTCTTTTTATTTTAACCCACTAAGCCCAAATGAAGCTTGCTAGGTCTTACTTCAGCAACAAGAGCTCATCAGGCTTAGATTCATTACTAGTTTCCCCTGAATGCAAGAGATGCAGCTGTTTTATTATGTAAATTGCTTTCCTTAATGCGAAAAGAGGCTTGAGTTTCATTCTTCTTAAGCTTAGGAAGCAAATTTCTTTGTGTATGTCTTAGGCAATGAGGAAAGGGTAGTTAGAGACAAAATGACCTTTTCTTTTTGAAAAAGTTAAACAAAAACCCATGTAAGTTTGGGCCTTCCCCAGATAACCCATTTAACTTTCAACAATTTTCAAAAAAAAAGCATGAACCATAATTTTTACAGACAAAAATATTGTCATGCTAATTTCTGCGCTTGATGTTAATAATGTTGAAGGTAGATTTTTTTTTTCTTTTATAGTTGTGAGAACCATAACATAAGGAAACCATAATGTGAGTTTTGGGCATTTTGAAGGTTAGAGTTGGGGAGAACTATCTGAGGAATGACCATTTAAACGGGGTTTTTTCTAAAATTTACCCACATATTTTTCTATTTTGGCTTATTTGCACTTTGGCACCCCAAAGTTTACCAATATTTTTAAATTTGATATCTCAAAGTATCTTTTTAACACTTTAATACTCCAAAGTTTATTTCACTTTGATACCCCCAAAATATTTCTTTGACACTTTGATAACCCAAAGTTTCAATCAAGTTACATTTTGATACCCCCATCCATATTATGTTAGATTCCTAATAAATTTATATTATGTCCTTAAGATGTGATACAATAGATCTCTTTTTACCTAGCTAGTAAGCGCATGATACAAATTTAATAGAAAATCTGACAATATGTAGATAGAGGTATCAAAGTGAAATGAGATTGAATGTTTGATATATCAAAATGGTAAAAAGGTACATTGGGGTATCAAGGTGAAATGACATTGAAACTTTAGGGTATGAAAGTATTGAAAAATTCTACGATTTTAAAGTGAAAAAGTGGATTAACTTTAGGGGGAATTAAAGTAAAAATAAATCTCTATTTAATTTTTTTTAAAAATCTGCTTCTTTAAGTTGAGAACCGGTGAGACAAAACATATGTTTTCCCTTAAATTTACCATTTAAAGGGGTTTTCTAAAATAAACAACTATTTATATATGATTGTGTTATCTTATCAGTGGTTGCCAATGCACTTGTTTGTATTTCTTTTGTTCTTGATAGAGTGAAGACACTATTTTAACTATTGCTTTTGAGTGTGGTTTTACTGTGGCTTATGAGGTTTACTATGGTTCAGTTATTATTTTCATTTTCGTTGCCGTCTTCTAAAATGTTAGAAGCTACAGTACCTGGCTACAATGAAATTTTCCAAAAGTCTAGTAGATAGTATAATTGTAAATAGGAGATAAATAATAATAATATTAAACTATTGGGTTCAATGTAGCTTAGGAACAATGGTAGCCCAATAGATTTAGCATACAGATAAACACTTCTAACTCCCAAAATTAAAAAGTAAATGCGTTGCCCCTCAAGACCGGATCAACAAACTATAATCCTCCTAGATTCACTTTTATATACTCCTAGCCCCTTAAATATGGTGCCATGTCACCAGTAAATTGCTAGAATAGTAATAATATATCTGTGAACATCCAATATAAACTATGTAATATTCTTATAATATTAATAGATTTAATTGTTGCACGTATAATTAAAGTATTATTTTCTATAATTATTATAAATCCTTAGAAATTATTTTGTTAGATCATTCACTGTTATTTGTCACTTGCTTCGAGATGTGATTTAACTTGAAGATTTCTTAAACTTATGCTTAATTTATAACTAGTAAATGATAACTTTGTTATAACAGATTATTATGCATGACACCGATATATGAGATGTGGTGGTGGGTCTCAATCACTAGTAATAAAGATTCCTTGGGTGTACATCATAGGCACACATTGTGATGTGTGTAACACTAGACCATATTTGGATTCTCTAGGACGAGTCACCTAAGAGATAGAGAATCTAAGTTGTTACATGGTCCCTTTGGCTTGATAATATTATCATTTTTTATTTGATAATTTAGTATGCTTTGATGTGAAGGTTAAGCTTGTGTAGCAAGCACCTCACCACCTAATACATCGGGTTGTTAAATTATATTTAGGAAAATGATGGATATCTAGATAGGATCCGATATGCTCATTATGATGAGTTAATTTATTATGCATTCCTATGAAGTTATTAAATTCCTACCGGTAGGTGGCCTTGAAAAATATTTTTAAATTTTATTTTCTTATAAAAATAAAATATTTTTAAATTTTATTTTCTTATAAAAATAAAATATTTTGATATTTCAAAATGATTTCTGTTATGGTGTTCACTCACCCAAGATACAGTATTTACAAAATAATGCAATAAGAGTCCTAGTCAACTCTCAAGAGTTCTAGGCATTCGACTCGTCAGTCGAATTTCAAGCCCTTAGTACCTTATCAGGGTAAACCCAAGGCATAACGACTCCTCAGTCGAATAAACAAGCCATTGGC